TCGGTCCGTTTCCTGCAGCCCCGGGGTGGCCAGTCCCGATTTCAGGCGTCAGTACTTGACTGGGTTTAACGAGAGATGAAGTTTCGTTTTGAAATGGGACGAATTGTGCTTGGAGTTTGTAACAACTCGCTGTGCCCATAATCTGTCGCCTTTTTCTCAAATTTAACGTGTTCCTACAGAGGACCTTGACTGCAGTATTCCTCGGGGTAGGCACTTGCATTTGGTCAAAGGGAAGCTTCAGAGAGGGAAGTTGTTAGGCTTCCCAGGGAAGCTCCCTAAGGTTTGTTGGTTAATGATTGATAATAATACGCATAGTTGGCTCCAGGTGTTTCTTCCTGGGAGCCCGAGTGATTTTGCAGCATTCATATGTGAATAGCTGCTAGTGTTTATACAGCAGTGGTATTAGGCAGTTGTTATGAAACCTACATGTATGAATACAAAACCACAGCAGAAAAAACCCATTGTCAACAACATCTCTTCATGGGCCAAATACTCCTCCTGCAGCCTCCTCAGGTTCTGTTTGTGCTTTCTGAGTAGTAAAAGCTAATGGGCTGAATTTGGGAGAGTGAATAAATAGAAAAGCTCCAAAGCAGTCCCAGTTGAAGTGAAGCCATGCACATCTGTAATGGATCCTGAAATGCCCTGTCTGTATTTCTCACAGTAAATCACTGAGTGATGAAGAAAACCTGAAGCTGTTTGGGAAATGCAACAATCCAAATGGCCATGGGCACAACTATAAAGGTAAGGACACAAGTGTAAAGGTGAGGAGTTGACTTCCATCCTTACACGTGTAATCACGGACAGAGGCTGGTCCTAGGCAGGCTGGTTTGGATGCAGAATAACCCGTGGGAGAGCTGGGACAGTCATGTGTCTCAGCAGGCTTATAAACCGACCCCACATCTTACGATCTCAGGGGTTTGGTGATTGTGTGGGCACCTAGGGTGTCTGCATTGTCCAGAAGACTTTGCTCATGAAGAGACTGAGCTTGAGTGTGCAGGGCACAGGCTGTCTAGGGAGTAGGTACCTGAGAAGCCATCTAGTCTTATCTCTGCCTGCAAGGGGCACTTCAGGGATAGGAGTGTGTCTCTGGGCACCCGACCTTGGAGGATGACTTCTTCAATGAGCTGCTTGATTCTGAGCCATTATTCTTTGTAGAGTGGCTACCCATTTTATAAAAATAGTCCCACTTCTGAGTGCTGGGAAGCCTGCGCCAGTCCCTGTGGATTAATGAATGGGCTGTCTGTCCCAATCAGTAGAGTGTACTTTGTTGTTAGGGTCATGGTATCATTGTGTCATCGTGACCTGGTATTTTCTTTTTTTCAGTTATAGTCACTGTGCGCGGAGAGGTAAGTGTGATCAACGTTTCTTTTCCATTTTTTAGGGTGGCAGGATAGATGGTCCCCGTCTTCCGCAGCACTGAAGTTCTGGCTCAATTGCTAGGTTTCCCAGAGTGTTTTGGGAAACTCTGTACACATCACTATAGACAAAGGGTTTTCCGTAATCACTGTCCTATTCACCGTGCCTTTAACAAGGATTTGCAGCTCACCATATTTAAGCCAAGCTTTATAATCATCCTCTGGGCACATAACTTATTCTGCCAGAGCCTCACTGCAAAATGGATAGGCTCTGGTCAGATTTGTGGGGCACCTTTGGATGACTGCTGAGCCATGGGGAGGCTTAGCGCTTCCAGTAACTGATTCTCTGCCGTCTTATCAAGGTATTTTGCTGCAAATATAAAAGGAAATTCTGCTTTTGCAGTTGTTTTTCACCCTTCAGCCTGTCATTGTTCTGTGTATTCTGCAGAGTGAGGTGTTTGGATAGCACTTTCATGTTTATTAAACAACTTTTTGAAGATTTCCAGTTCATAGGAAAGGGGCTTTACTATTCAGATCTGAAACTAAATATTCAAAACCTCTTCCTTCTGCATTCCCCAAATATGCTATGAACTGCACAACCCGATTTTGTTGCTGGAGCTGTGCCTTTTTTTTCTTTCTGTTTTGCCCCTGGTTGTTCAACCCAGCAGTTTAATGCCTGTTTTCCTGCTTATGGTCATGCTAGATTGTTGCTGAGTGTTGCAGTGAGTGTTTCCTCCCTGGTGTCAGCTTTTATGAGAGAGTGGAACCACTGGCGTGTATGCTGTATCTAGCCTTTGGAGACATCACAGGAGTAGAGTCGGAATTCGGTGTGTACAGCCTGGAAGATATTTTTCTTGTGGCTCAGATGTCCTGAGCACACAAGTATTCACGGTCTGATTTGTACAGGCTCCTGGCAGCATTGGTACTAAAGATGCATAGCTAGGCTGCTGATCTGCCTTTTGTTTTCCCTGCAGATTGACCCGGTCTCAGGAATGGTTATAAACCTGACAGACCTGAAAAAATATATGCAGGTAATAGCAGTGTTTTCCTACACATTCCCTGGGAGAGTTGGTTAGAGCTTAGCGATTTATCTAGTACCAGGGTGAAGACATGGTGAGCTGATGATGGTAGGAAATAAAGAAGAAATTAAGGAATGATTTAAGACTAAAGTGCTTTGGCACGGTGATGTGAGGCAGTACCGTATCATAGTTAGGAAGTTAACAGGTGGATGTAGGGCTCTTACGCCTTTTTTACATACTGTTGCCTTGCTCCAGTCCCATTTGCATGGTAATTTGAACCCCAGCTCCACTGACCAACTGGGACAAGATTGTGGCTGGTTTTTTTTCTGCAGGAGGCGATCATGGAACCTCTTGACCACAAAAACCTGGATAAGGATGTGCCATACTTTGCTGAGGTTGTGAGGTGGGTGATGGGGACTTCTCGCGACGTGGTTACAGGGTCAAGGAGCAGTCTGAAAGAGCAGCCTTGATACCTGTGTGTATCACACACCGGTGACACACGCTTGCTTACGGTCAGGGTGTCATCATGTGAAAGCTGCCCGCATGGTCCTCTGTGGCCTTTGGCATCCTCCCTGGCCCATTCTGGGTACAGCCTCAAATACCATTGCTGTCAGTTCTGAATCTGCTCCTGTTTCCCTCATAGCACCACAGAGAACGTTGCAGTATTCATCTGGGAAAACCTCAAGAAGCTCCTGCCCGTGGGAACTCTTTATAAAGTCAAAGTGTATGAAACGGACCAGAACATTGTTGTTTACAAAGGAGAAGAAACAATCTCTGAGAAGTGAAATGAGCTCTACAGCTCAGTTGGTCAGAAGCTCTGCTGTATAATCAGATCAGTGGAGTCCTTCAACGCTGCTCGCTGGATTTCCTACGCCTAGATGTTGGTTAGGTATTACATAAGGACAAATACAGATGTTTCACAAGAATTCTTGCAGCAATCTAGCAGTTTGGGTTCTCAGAATTTGTTGATTTGTCTGCTTTTTCTCAAGACTTTCCTGTTTTGCAAACCCAAAGCGCCAAGCTGATGTGAAATTTACAATTGTGCCATGTTAAATAAAGCAGCTTTCTAGAGAGGAGATGACAAAATGTGTGTCCTGTCCAGTCACAAAAGACTTTGATTTTTCTCTAAACATCAGATTCAGTTATGATTTTTAATAACCTGGGCTTTGGTGTTGTTTTATTATCAAGTAGAGAAACAATATTGAGAACTACATACGGTAAGTGGGAGTTGCCACAAGGATATTTCAAAGGAATTTAATATGTATCATCCAATGCAAAGAGCTGTAATCTTAAGAGATAGACGTATCAACAGTGAGATTAAAATTGAACAGTAGTTTACAGCACTAATTAGAATTTTATTGGGTGGTGTTCAGTGCAATAGCAGAAGATACAACATATTCAGAATCTCTGGAAATTACCCTGCTGGCGAGACAGGTGCCAACTTTAGTAGCTGGACCATAAAAATTTATTTCTACTGAATTACGTGGAAACATTCCAGTAGTGCATCACTCCAGGCGCTAGGTCGTTAAAATATAATCTGTGAAATTGTGCTCGGGGCTTCTGACTTTCCAAACCAATCACTCTACCAGGAAACAGGAAATCAGTGGAGATTAGTAGGAAAGTTTACACTTGCATTGAGAAGTCTAATGGTATGAGAGGGAGGAATATCTTTGTTGATACAAACCGTGGTTTTTTGAGATGGATAAAATTTGAACAAGCAAGAGTTGAGTAAGGTGCTCCCATTTTAAAGCAAAACCAGCCATAGCAGGGAGAAAAAGGGCAGGGCTCAGAGGGAGAAGGGGACTGATCTCTGGAGTCAACAGGCACAGACCGCCATTGAGTCGCCTTGTGTTGAGTCCAAGGAAAGGTGTAGGCAGATTTTCCATTGCATACTTCTCCTTCCTTGGAACAGAGCCTGAGCACAGCTGGTGCAGATTGCACCTGTCCTGGTTTGCACCCGTGCCTCGGAGTTGCCAAACTGGTGAGTGCCAGCTAACTCGGGCTGAGGGGTAGCATCAGCTCTGAACAGCTGCAGAAACCAAAATGGTCTAAGGAAGGTGGCTGGAGTGAGGACAGGGCTATCCGATATGCCTGCCTTTTGGGACAGCAGACCTCTGAAGAGAGGAGGTTTGGAGGCAGACCAAGGGCACCCACTGCTTCCATGTCGGGCTGAGTACCGACAGCCAGTCCCTGTCCCCACAGCTGCCCTGGCAGCTGCACAGCGCTGAGAGAATGGGACAGTGCTGAAAAAAGGATCAGATGGCCAAACCAGGTGGAGAAATTAGGTAATGCAGTGGTTGTATTTCGTATTTCCAAATAAATGACGCCTCTCCGTTTATTATTTTCCTTCCTGGCTGAGAAGGTACAGAGGTTCAGGAAGAGAGAGTGAGAGAAAGTCTGTGTGTCTGTGTGTCTGTGTGTCTGTGTGTCTGATGCTGGGACCAGAGTCTGTGGCGGCAGCCTGACCCTGAGCACCCACCAGAGCTGCACCTCAGATGTTCCCAGCTGGCCTCACACCCATACCTAACGGGAAGGACAGAGCCTGTTCTAGTGTCTGAAGCACCTGATGACTCTTCTGATAAGCATGAAAGGTAACACAGCTTTGAGTCCTTTCTCCTTCCTCCCTTTGAATTGTGTGTGGGTAAATGCTCTTTGCATTTGACTCTGAATGCAAACCCTGCAGGCTTGTTGATGTGATGGGTTGGTCCCTGTCATGCTGCTGGATGCATATGCTTAACTGGGCCCAGAGAGCCTGCACATGGTGATAAAGCAGGAGCTTTCCTTTTAAAGCTTCCTGTCATTCCCATAAACTTCAAAGGATAGAAAATGCCCTTGCCTGGAGCACCAAGGGTGAGGTCAAAGCCAGCAGCCATTCTGCATATTTAACTTGCCCACTCAAACAGCAGACAGTTTCACTGAAACCTGTAATATTCTCTAGAAAGGCAGGAGTGAGAAGGGAGATCCTTTTATCCCGTCCCCAGCATTATTTGGAGATTATGGGATGCCAAAAGAGCAGAGAAATGAAAAGGGCACAAAGGATTGACACAGGGGAGCAGCCCTTGTGCTGGCAGCCCAGGGTGGGGTCTGGTGCTGGCAGAGGAGGATAATGGCACGTTTTTTGGAAATTTGGGTAACAAAAGCAGATCTGTGAAGCAAGACAGCCTTGTTGGCATGGTTTATAACAAATAAGATCCAGGTATTAACCACAACTGTCCAGCTATTAATTTTTCTGACAATTTGGTAGGAAGAAAAAATATCCCTCTTGAACCACACCTGATATCTGAATGCCCAAGAAGTACAGGTGGTCAGGGACAATTTCTTCCTGTTGTACCCAGCTCCTCTGGTGAGTTCTCAGGAATATGAAGGCTCTTCCACTGTCAGGCTCTCAGTAGTCTGGAGTGAACCTTTCATCACTTGGTAGTTCGAATTTATTCAACATAAGTAAGGCTAGGTGTAGGGACACCACAAACTCTGGGCTAGTAAAGCCAGGTTAAAGCTAGGTCTCCCATCCGTGACTGTTGACAGACTGTTATGATCTGGAGCTCAGTCCTCTGAAGAGGAAACAGCAAGAGGATGAGTGATGCAAGGGATGCCATTCTAATTTTACCTTCCAAAAATCCTTCGGGTTCACCCTGTACAGGATTGCAGTGCACCTTTCTTTTGTGTCATTATGTGCTCATCTGTGGGGTTAAAGCCAAATATTTCACAGTATTCAGAATAATTTCAACCTACCTGCCACATCACAATGAAGCAAGGAAATAATGTTAGGTACAAGAGCCAACTTTCATTCCTGATTTATTTAGACTAGTTTCAGAAAAAAAGTTACTTTCCGCAAGTTTGACAATTCCTAAATAAACACTCTTCATATAAAAATACAAACAATTAATAATAAAATCAAAACATTTGGTCACCCAATCTTCCCCTACAGCAAAATCAGCTGTTGATTAAAAAACGAGAATAAAAAATACCCACCCCCCATTCCAGAAAGCCAGAAAAAAAGACCAGAGAGACTTTACAAGGCATCCACTGAAATAACAAAATTTAGGGGATGTTGGACCAAATAACAATATGGAGCATAAAGTCCCAAGGCTGGGCCTTTATGGAGGATACCCTGCCAGCAGGATCTCCCGCTTGTCCTGGGGAGGGGGTCTCCTCCCCAGGTGGAGGGTTGGTGGCTGCTCTTCGTTTCTGTGCTTGCACCGGAGGTTTTAATCTGGCTGAGGCACATGAATCCTAACCCCATGAATTCTGCTCCCAGTCTCAGTTCTGCTTTCAACAGTTTTGGTGAACATACGGGGGGGGGCTGCGCTAGACTGTCACGTAGGCACCCAGGTGTGCGCACACACATGCACACACGCTGTGAGTGCAGGTCCCAGGCTGCACCGCCGAAAGCAGACCTCTCCTTGAGCTTCTCAGCAGACCCTCATACCTGGATGAGAAGAGGTCCTTTTCCCTTTCAAGCATTTTCATGCTTTTTTGTGCTTCACAGAACCCCAGGTGATGAGGAAGGAATTCATCCATCCAGTGTTCTTTTGCTAGATGCGGTCTGCTCTTCACCTCGTTATTACGCTTTTCTAGCAGCAAAGTTCTAACAGTGATCTCTGACCTGATATGAAACATTTCATCTTGCTGAGATTGCTGGCCCTGGGTGAGGGGAGTAAGGGGACGATCAGCTCTGTGGTCAAAGAGACCTTTATAATTTGATGTAGAAGTGCAGTTACCATCCTAATACACAGAAGTGAATTGTTTTCCTGAGTAGATCAGCTGCCTGCCCTCCCGTGCGTACTGCAAGCAAAGAGGGAAGGTGCAGCACGGCTGGGTCATCTCCTCTTCCTGACTTCTAGGAGAGCAGTTTGCTTGTGGCAAGGAGCAGCAGCAACTGAACGACAGCTATGAAGAAGGAGCTGCTCTGAACCACAGAGACGGAGTTGCGGGTGGTAGTTGGTGGGTTTGTGGTTGGTTCTGATTCTGAAAGAGAGGAAAACCACCAGGGTTGATTAGAAGTCCAGAGGACCAGCTGAGCTACAGACCTACTCCAAGAGGCTGCATTTGTCTCTGATTTCTGAGAAATGAGGGATCATACTCATGGGATGTCTGAATATATCCACTGACATCAATGGAGCACCATCAGTATAGGCTCAAGGCTCCTGGGTGGTAGAAGATTCTCTGGAGTACCAGAGATGTTATCTGTGATGGCAAAGCCAAAATTTCTGTTTCGTATCTGCATGGCAGAGTGAATAGGGGGATGAAGCCTATGCCAATACCTGCAAAAATGAATAAGCCTGTCCTCTCATTTCTAGCTGTTTAGTGTCCCTTACAGCAAAAAGGAAGCTTGAAAATGTTTTAAGTTCAACATTATAACCTGAAAAATCTCTAGCACTCCAGTGTCTTTGCCTTGTCTTCTGACTATTGGAGAGGCGAGATATTTTTCATCTGGAGGTACTCTGAGTCCATCTTTCCCCACTCCCAAAACACCAGAGCACAAATGAAGCCCCTTGCTTGGTGTGCTATTCACTGTGCTGTTCAAACTGCTCAGCTGAAGCTTGTTTACCTTTTTGCAGAGTCACATTGTGGAACCAGACAGATTGGTTGGTGAAGATGATATATGCCCTGTGGAAGGAGGGAAGAGAGAAGTTGTAAAGGGGACATTAAGAGCAAATGAAGAGACAGGAACTATGAAGTCATCCTGAACTCACTTAATTGCCCTCCAGCAATATTGCACTTTTTTTTTTTTTTTAACATCTGAAGCACTGTTTCTTCATTAGGCTTTGGCTGCTTTACTGCC